TGGTAACAATGAGCTGCTGCACGTGCTGAAGGACGTGGTCCTGGTTTCTGTTGATTTCTTGCACAGATGGGCCTGTACTCCACTGCGCCTTGCATAACGATTCGCCTGTAGGTTAGTGATGAGTCCAGGCCATTGTGGTGCTGGTGTCCTTGGGTTATTGCTAAGTGGTCTGGGTGTTGGCCTGAAGCTAAGCCGTGATGGCCTGCAGTCATCTTGGTATTCATCAGCCTGTCTGGCTGATTCAGAGAGGGTGGTAGGTTTTCAGGCATTACCCACCCCTGCACCTCTGGGTTCAGTCCATTAAAAAAAAAAAATTGTTCATGTAAAATCAGCTGGGTGATCTCCTCTCCAGTATTTGCCTGACTGGTATTTGATTGACCTTCTGCATTCAGCAGTACCATTTGGTGTGGGAGTCCTTCTTCTGTTTCTTTATCTCCTGGAAGTGTCTCCTGTGAGCTTCTGAGGTGATGACGTTTCTTGCCAAAATCATTTCCTTTACCCGGTCATAGTGTGTGACTTCCTCCTCTGGTATGGCTCTGAAGGCTTCAGCTGCATGGCCTGACAGCTTACCAGCCAGAATTTGCACCCAACTGCTGGGGGTACTTGGTACAGTCTGCATAGCTGCTCGAATTCTTGCAGGAAGCCGTCGATCTTTTCTTCTGCTTCCACAAACTTTTTAAAGGCATCATGTGATACCTTTAGTTTTGCCTCTGGTGTCTGTGTGGTAGTTGGCAGTCTCTCAGAGGCACACTGTTCAGCTAGCCAAAGTTGATTCTCCCGATCTACCCTTGCCGTGATGAAGGCATATACTTAGGCTAACGTTGCCTGTACCAGCTATAGTGAGGGGTTTTCAAACTCTTTGTCAAACTCCATCTCCATGATTTCTGTGGTCATGCTGCATGCCCAATCGTCCTTAGTAAGATCTGCAATTAGTGTGGCTTTTGTCTTATTGCTGTTATTTCAAAGTTGTTCGCTTTAATCCAGCATAGTTCGTCTCCATTCACAATTCCATTCGTATAATCGAATTTGTACAAACCGCTGCTTGAGCACAAACTGCTGCTTTCATATTGTCATTCGTATATACAAAGACATATGAGCGCTGCTTCCTTTTGCTGCAAGGCTTGTATCCCGCCGCTTGCCACCAATTGTGGTGGAGCTTCCTATACCATGCCTGGGTACCTCCACCAAGGAACGCTTCCTAGCTGGAAAAGGGAAAAACCTCAGCGCTTCTGCCCCAGTTCAAGGATGGAGAGGCTCCAGCAGGACCCCAGTCAAGCCAGGGTGACTGGGGCAGAAGTGCTGAGGTTTTTCCCCTGTTCCAGCTAGGAAAAGGTCCTTGGCGGAGGTACCCAGGCATGGTACAGGGAGCTACACCACAGATAGATAGATGTGCTACACCATTTTTTTTAAATGTTAACATGAAATAGATAGTTAAGTATAGTTAAAGTTATAGTTATAAATTGGGTACAGTGATATATTTACACACATTCTAAGAGTATTGACGGCAGGATAATTTGTTACATTTTTATATGTTTATCCTCTAATAAAAGCCCCACAGTATTTACCTATTGGGAAATTAGAAACAAATACAGATAAAAACCAGGCAGTGAGGCTGCAGCGTTAATGCTTTCTGTGCACTAAATCAATGTGCAAAGTCAGTATAACGACATGTACATGACATCTAATTTTACACTGTGTGATGTAATGCCAAAATTGATGCTACTGAAAAGAGATAGAGAAAGGAGGGGGATGATGCAGATAGAAAATGTAGGAAAAAAATGAGAGAGAATTTTTTTTAGCAAAGGTCTCCACATGGGATATTGCTGCACTCAGAGTCATTAGACGTGTGTCAATTTGGGGGTTTTACAGTACCAGACCACACATGGTCTGTGAAATACTCCACAAAAATTAAATACAGGGGAAATAAATAAATAACATAAGCATCAGATTGGGCGGCCTGGTGACAAAATGTTTAAATAAAAGTGTCAGAATGCTTACAGATACATACCTTGGGGTCTACTTTCTACAAATTTAAACTTTTGTTTAGCAGTTTTGGCGTAATTCAATATTATTAAAGTTATAGTCTCAGCAGACTAAATTTTGCAAAGGTTTAGCTTAAAATTTTCAGTCAATTTCTTGAAATAACTCTGTTTTAACTTCCCTTTACGACATTAGGATGTGTCATTATTTCCTAACAATACTGGGCTGTAATGTTTTTCTATGGGCAGAGTTAAATCCCTCCTCACACCAGGAGACCCACGTGTCAATTATATCTGGGGCCCCCATCGGGCAGCTGGGGCTATTTTTATTGGCCCGACACAGACAGATGAGCTGTTTGCAGCACTCAAAGTGAGCGCTGCTAAAAGCTATCTAAATGCCCTTATTTAATGGTTGGTATGAGCAGGATTAAATCTCTGCTCACACCAGGGGATGCCAGGTATCAATCAAACCTAGGTTTTCCCTCTGTTAGCTAAGGCCACATTTGTACTCACCCATTGAAAGGTATGCATTGAGAACACCGCGGTTGAGTGTATTGTGCTCAACCACAGTGATTCTTGGCTTGCAGTTGTACAAAGGTCTCCATACATGCCCCCTGCTGACTGTGATCAGTACTGGCCATTGCCAGCTGCCCAGAACTGATCACACTGGGTTCGGGTTAGGCAGTATGCTAAGATTTCAGCATTACAGGGAAATATACCTGAAATGCTGAAAACAGCTAGTAGATGGCAGTCACACATCACTCTCTATTTTAGCTAGGAATTATATCTGCTGATATCAGTATTAATATTAGCAGAGGGTATTCCAAAGGGTTAGGGATAAGGCAAGGGTTAATGCTGTTTTAAGGTTAGGGATAGTGTAGGGTTAAAGTTAAGGGTAAGGTAAAGTTACACGGTTAGAGTAAGTGTAAGCATAACTCAGGAATAGGTTTGGTTTAGCATTGAGGAGGTTGGTACAGGGTAAGCATTAACTTCCAAAAAGCGATTTAACAAATCAGGACTGATATATGAATCTTTTTTGATTTCTTCTTGTTCTTTGTTGCATTGGATGTGTAAAAAATTGTAATACTTTTTGTTTTCTGTTTTAAATTGTTTCAATTTTTAACATTTTAGTCACACTTAATGTTGTGTTAGGTATACATAATCTGTTTTTAAAAGAAAGATCTTTCTGTACTTTAAAAAAAAAGTAAAGAAAATAAATAAATTTCGAAATAGGGCTACGCAGTCCGCTCTCCACATTGGATCAGATAGATACTCAGCAGGCACAGGAACTTGTACAGAGTCTGGGATCAGGTAAAATGTGATATCTTTTATTAGGCACAAATTGCCTGATATAAAATTTATAAAAAAACAAAACAAAATGTAATAGACAGAGGTATAAAATATATCTAACACGTTTCGTCCACTAAAATGGACTTCCTCAGAGATATAGATAAGCAGCAATGAATAAAAAGCATACATAATCCCATCCCTCCCCAAGTCCCATTTAAATAGTGCTAGTCCAGGGACATACATTTAAGAATCCTCTAGGTAGGTTTGATTGTGTGCTGATCTGATTTGTTGTAAAGTGGACAAGCTCTCCTCATAGGTCTTTGCAACTTTATCCTCCAGACATTTTCAATTGCCGGTCAGATTTCCCGCCTTTTCGCCAAACTCAATCGGCTTGCATTCCACAGAACGTCATATGCGTTCCACAGAGTATTTTCGGTTTCGGTCCTGAATATTGTTTGTGTTCCATCTCTATGATAATGTGCATTCCACCTCCACTGAAATTGCTATTTGCAGCTCAGTGTAAGTAATGGTCTGATCTTAGAATATAAGGAAAAGGTTACAAGTTTTATTGAACTTCATAAACAGATATTTACAAATGGAAATGTTTCATGTTATAAACAGGGAATTTGATCTCTCGTTATACATTACCAATAATTTATATAAAACGTAATTTAGAATTTCGAAAGGAATTTTTTTTGTATATATGTATCTAATATACAAATAGAAAATGTATATTTGTATATAATATACTAAGAAAAAATTGAGAACAAAATTAATAATAGACAATTAACATATCAGAGGTGTGTGCAAGTGAAATGTAGTGTAAAATGTGCACAATATGCTCATAGATGTCAAAATCTGCATGTTAGATGTTATTATGCTGCAGCATAAAATATATATATACATATGAAAGCCTACTACCAATTAAGCATATTAGGTGATGTGCATCTCTGTAATGAGAAGGGGTGTGGTCTAATGACATCAACACCCTATATCAGGTGTGCATAATTATTAGGCAACTTCCTTTCCTTTGGCAAAATGGGTCAAAAGAAGGACTTGACAGGCTCAGAAAAGTCAAAAATAGTGAGATATCTTGCAGAGGGATGCAGCACTCTTAAAATTGCAAAGCTTCTGAAGCGTGATCATCGAACAATCAAGCGTTTCATTCAAAATAGTCAACAGGGTCGCAAGAAGCGTGTGGAAAAACCAAGGCGCAAAATAACTGCCCATGAACTGAGAAAAGTCAAGCGTGCAGCTGCCACGATGCCACTTGCCACCAGTTTGGCCATATTTCAGAGCTGCAACATCACTGGAGTGCCCAAAAGCACAAGGTGTGCAATACTCAGAGACATGGCCAAGGTAAGAAAGGCTGAAAGACGACCACCACTGAACAAGACACACAAGCTGAAACGTCAAGACTGGGCCAAGAAATATCTCAAGACTGATTTTTCTAAGGTTTTATGGACTGATGAAATGAGAGTGAGTCTTGATGGGCCAGATGGATGGGCCCGTGGCTGGATTGGTAAAGGGCAGAGAGCTCCAGTCCGACTCAGACGCCAGCAAGGTGGAGGTGGAGTACTGGTTTGGGCTGGTATCATCAAAGATGAGCTTGTGGGGCCTTTTCGGGTTGAGGATGGAGTCAAGCTCAACTCCCAGTCCTACTGCCAGTTCCTGGAAGACACCTTCTTCAAGCAGTGGTACAGGAAGAAGTCTGCATCCTTCAAGAAAAACATGATTTTCATGCAGGACAATGCTCCATCACACGCGTCCAAGTACTCCACAGCGTGGCTGGCAAGAAAGGGTATAAAAGAAGAAAATCTAATGACATGGCCTCCTTGTTCACCTGATCTGAACCCCATTGAGAACCTGTGGTCCATCATCAAATGTGAGATTTACAAGGAGGGAAAACAGTACACCTCTATGAACAGTGTCTGGGAGGCTGTGGTTGCTGCTGCACGCAATGTTGATGGTGAACAGATCAAAACACTGACAGAATCCATGGATGGCAGGCTTTTGAGTGTCCTTGCAAAGAAAGGTGGCTATATTGGTCACTGATTTGTTTTGTTTTTGAATGTCAGAAATTTATATTTGTGAATGTTGAGATGTTATATTGGTTTCACTGGTAATAATAAATAATTGAAATGGGTATATATTTGTTTTTTGTTAAGTTGCCTAATAATTATGAACAGTAATAGTCACCTGCACACACAGATATCCCCCTAACATAGCTATAACTAAAAACAAACTAAAAACTACTTCCAAAAATATTCAGCTTTGATATTAATGAGTTTTTTGGGTTCATTGAGAACATGGTTGTTGTTCAATAATAAAATTAATCCTCAAAAATACAACTTGCCTAATAATTCTGCACTCCCTGTATATACAGAGATGTGTAGATCCATTAGGTCCCACATTTTAAAATTATGTGGATTAATGAAAGTTAACCTAATAAGATATTAGGTCTCTATGGCAAAAATACCTCTATAAGAGAAAATGAGAGATAAAGTTTCCCTGTATAATAGATGTACAAGTATTAACATATAACCCAAGGGCTATATGTGTAAACATACATAAAGATTAACCCAAGTACAAGTAGAAAAGTAGTAAAAACCTTGAACTAGTAGGTGGCAATGGGGGTGACATGATAGAAAATGGGAGACAAAACAATCAATATTACATGCTTCATAAACCACTGTCAACATCAATAAAACCACCAGGATTGGCAGATATTACTCAACTTCTGTTTTTATCATGCCCAAAGAATCAGGTCTTCAGGTCCTCCGAACATAAAAATGCAAAAATGTATATTGTTTTATTTCTGGTTTTAATGCAGTGGGCTAATGGACCAATCCACACTTAAAAACAAACAAAAAACACAATTTAGTTAATATACCCCCTATTAATACATGCATGCATATTTTTATGTATGTATTCATTGAGGGTATAGTCTAAAACAGCTTGCAAAAGCTGCAGTTCTTCTGAGTGCAAGTCTAATTTTTTACCGAAGAGACTTGAACTGGAGAATTGTCCAAACAGAGAAGCCACCCTCAGTGTGTCTACCCCTTTCCCTCCTCTCCCCACTGACCTTCTTGTAGCATAGTGGTCTACTGAACAAGTCCGGCCAGGCATGCACGAAAACACTCTAATGGGCGGGCAAGAACCCACACTTATGTTAAAGGACCACTATAGTGCCAGGAAAACATACTCGTTTTCCTGGCACTATAGTGCCCTGAGGGTGCCCCCACCCTGAGGGACCCCCTCCCGCCCGGCTCTGGAAAGGGCAAAAGGGGTTAAACTTACCTTTTTCCAGCGCTGGGCGGGGAGCTCTCCTCCTCTGATCCTCCTCCGTTCCTCCTCCTGGGCTGAATGCGCACGCGCGGCAAGAGCTGCACGCGCATTCAGCCGGCTTTCCTATGGACGCTTGCGTGCTCTCACTGTGAAAATCACAGTGAGTAGCACGCAAGCGCCTCTAGTGGCTGTCAATGAGACAGCCACTAGAGGATTAGGGGGAAGGCTTAACCCATTCATAAACATAGCAGTTTCTCTGAAACTGCTATGTTTATGAAAAAATGGGTTAACCCTAGCTGGACCAGGCACCCAGACCACTTCATTAAGCTGAAGTGGTCTGGGTGCCTAGAGTGGTCCTTTAATGATATCACATGCAAATGCACCCTCAAGCTTACAAAATTGTGTGACTGTTTAATTTTTTAAAAAAAAGGCAAGTATGGTATGTGAAACTACCACAATTCTTTGCGGGCAAGCTTGGAAAAAAGGTGTGCTACATTAGAATGTGCCTGCTACGTAGGAAGTGAATATCCCCAGCTGTTTGACAGTTGGTGAAGCATTTCTATTTTGAAATATAACAGTGCTAATTTCACAATGAAAGTGGCACTTTTAGAAATGGGAATTTTAAAGGGATATTGCATAGCCATAATGCAATTCAGCAATATGAAGTGCTCTGTAAATGTGTGAAGTACTCCTTTAAAACAGGAATATAGTCATTCTAGAATGTTTCTTTAAGATAAAATATCAGCAATCTTCACTAAACTTTTTTAAGGTGGTATTTTAAAACATACGCAAATCATCACAAACTTCCTGTGTTTTGTTCTTAATAACCAATATTCCATTTATTTCTTTTTCCACCAGTGTGGATTTTCCTTTCAAGAAAGTGCTGTTTCTGTTTGTCCCCTTTTAAGCTCTTATTGTGGTAGCCAAATGAAGACAGGCAGCATTAATTTTAATGAAGGATAGATATCTAAGATATAGTAAGCTTTTGCTGTCTACCAAACTTGGCTTAGCTTTTCCACCACCTCATAACAAATCCATTAGTATGACTGCATTAGCTAAAAGGAAGGACAAAAAAAGCTTTTCAAATAGGGACACTTTACCCAACTCTCTATATACACCAACGATTGCATGCTAGAATCATATGAAACAGCCAGTATAATGTCAAGAATGGAAGACTATGCTTACTTAGCTGATGTAATCCAAATAATAATTCTATATAGCAGCATTAAAAACATGGGCAAGTTATACCAATGAAGAATTTATAGGCACATTACATTTTCTTGAATATTATCCTTTAGAACAGGTGTAGCTAATAGATGGACCTAACCAACCATAATGCTGGGAAATTATTGTGAGAATATATTTTACAACAGTTGGGGGTCTGCATTTTAGACACCCCTGTATTAAAAAAAAACTATGTGTTTAAAAAAAATGAGAGACAAAATACTCACTTGATATAGACACTGTATCTGCAGGGTTTATTGACTTATAGAGGATGTGGTCCCACTGCAAATTGATATTTCAAAATTATGTCATCAGCTAATACCATATATCTTTCTTCTGGTATTTCATTAGTAACTGCTACTTCTCTCACAATACTTTAGGCATTTGCCATCTTGGTTCTCTCTGCAGGGAGAATTTTGGGAATCCAAGCAGGCGCTATCTTGGACTACCCTCATTTAATCCCTTAAAAGCTGCGTGACGGTCTATGCCCTCTTGCAGTGCAATGCTTTAGCTGCCATCGACAGCATAAGCCACCATGCATTAAAGTTTACTGTGTGTCCATAGGACTGCGGAGCAGTGGTGGTTCTTGCTGTTGCTGTGTAGAAACTAACTGCTGGATTTTAGGCATGTGATGGCTGTGATAATCTATCACAGCGATCACAATGCTCAAATGGCAAAGTCAATGTTATTAAACATTGACTTTCTATTGATCTCTGCTTCTCAGTTCTCCACTTGTCAGTTTGATGCAGAGGCTAAGAGACTTGTTTCCAAGTGAAAGTTTGACTTGTTTTGGGTGTAGAAACCATTATATTCAAAAATGTGAATAAGATGTTTTGTTTTTCTTTAACATTATTAATGAAAACTGATAAGATATGATTATATATTGAACATGAAAAAAAAACAGTTTGTCCTATACAAAACAGTTTGTGTGGGTGATGTAAAAAGAATGAGCAAAAATACAGGTGAACAAGGACTTATGAAAGAAAATCTCAAAATTGTTGTGTTTCGTAATGCACAGCCATGCTAGTAGCCTTGACCCTTTAACAATTAAACCTTTTCCCAGTGTGACAAATGTTCCCTCTTTTAACTCCTTCACACCAGCATTAAGCCGCTTATTATTTTAGAACACTTTATTTACTGAATCCTATCTATAGTCATTCTAATTTGATAAAACCAAATGTTAAATTGCCAATTTACCCATCCACCATGTAGAATCAAAGAAACAAAATTTAAACTTCAGTTAATGAATTAACATTGACAAAATGAAAACACATTTAATCAAAATAACGTATCCTGTGGTTATATAGATCATATAGCTAGATAATTAAAGAGAGACAGAGAGGAGAGGGTAAAAAAAAAATCAGAGAAAGGATTATAATGTACTTCTCATGTAACATTACATAATAATCATATGAAAATAGGATAACAGTTTGAGGAGAACGAGAATAATAGTGTACTCTTCTATATGAATGGCAATATAATATACATACTCTGCTGTAAGACCTTACATTTGTTCGAGAGGAAACTAATGCAATCCATGTGGTGAAATAAGGTGCTAGAATTTGCTGTAATTTCCAAAAATGTGAAAGTTCCTTTGCTATTGCAGAATTTACGGGGCCAAAACATGTAGGTAAGGTAAGTAAAAAACGTACTTATCACAGCTGTGCATTTGTATTTTGTTCATTTTGCCATCCCAAAAAACCTCAGTCACAAACCTGCTAACAACCAAATGCCATACATGTGCATGCATGCATGCATGCATCATGCAAAAGGCAATGTGATAGTTGACTCATGTACATACTTTGTAAAGCAAATAATGTGAAATGTAAAATAAACTATAATGGATTTTAAATTAATTTTAGATGAACCTATAGCTTTTATTTTGGAACTTAAGTAATTTCATCTTTAAGAAGATCTCATGGAATGCAATTTCAAGAGCTCTATAAATATTATGAGACATTTAACTAGAGGATGAGGCTAGTCTTTATGAACACATAATCTAAATTTATATGTCTTTACTAAAGACAGGAGGGGAATATTTCTTTATACCTTCTTTGCTGACAATTAAACAGTTAACACCGTCTGTAAAAAAACAACCAATCACAGTGAGGTATGGCAACCATTCCCCTCAACAGGACCCTCCCAATCGAACATCAACTAAGAAGTTGAACACAGCACAACAGGAACTGAAAGAACCTGTAGAAACCGTTTCACACTGAAAATAAAAACAGAAAGACTTGTGAAAGTGAATTTTTATAGACTGGTAGTCACAACAACACAAGATAAACCAGTATTAAATCAGAGCATAACATTAAGCCATAATACAAACCCCCAATGTAAAAACTATGACACACACATAATATGAAAATGTAGATAATGTCTTCACCAAGGCTGGAATAATCCTTATTATTTTACATCAAGACAGTAGGCTTCATTTTTGCTTTTTCTTTCTATTTTTTTTTTTTTTTTTACTTTCCTTTTCCCATATTTGCAAAAGAAAAAAAAGCATATGCATATTTAAAAA